TGGGGCAGGGGAGCGGCTGCTAAACCTAGCGGGGGAGCGGGGGGAAGGGGGGAAAGGAGGCTCCCGTGGGGTCTCCCGCTGCCTGCACTGGGACTCGTAGCGCTCCAGCGACTGAGGAGCGCTGACCCCCGCTGGAGGGGCCAAACTAAGGTCACCTGAACGCACCCGGGGGCCTGGCTCACGGGAGCGCACTGAAACACTTCAGTCTTCACTTTTGAGCCGAAAAAGGATTTAAGACGGCAACGACGCTGCTGGAAAACATGGCACAGAGCCACACCGTGAGACTGGGTCCGATGGCCTCTTCCCTCCCACCCCGCGTGTGCTGCGCAGCGGCTTCAGTTACAGCGTCAGGAGGACACAATCTGAAGTTTCTTCACCACTGAGATTTGTTCTTTTATAAGCAAGTTTTGATCCACCTATTTTATATTAAAATAAATGCTGGCATGAGAGAAGGTAATGGAGCTAGCCCTTTCAGCATCAGCAGTTCTTGAAATTTAGAAAGCAGCGGCTCGTTTCCAATGTCTGACAGAACAAGAAGCACCGTGAACACGCAGAGTGATTACACACACAAAAATAATTTAGATAAACCTGACTCATTACCTCGGTATTATGATACAGCTCTATTCACATAATACTTAAATTCTTGCTTGTTTCACAAACAAAACCCCATGTAAATATACACTCTTGTATCGCAGACTACAAGACTATTAACTGTCTTTGTGTATGTTGGCCAAGGCACCTTCTGTGATGCAATCGAAGTTATTTCCAAGGCTTTCACATTCACATTACCATTGATCTCTCCGAGAGGGAACCTTCTGGTGCTATCAAAAGGACCACAGCTGTTGAAACCAGACAGTGAACAAGGCAATTCTTCCTGGCAGAGCGCCACCCTTAGAACCCAGCTGAGTCTCCACACAACTGGGTCACACACCACACTTGTACAATGCAGACATGGGGAGCACTGGGAACTGATCTTGCATCAGTGGGCAAGAATAAGCAGAGTTCAGGAAGTAGGTTTTATTCAGCTTTTTATCTGTAACAGAATTCCAAGGATACACACATCCACCTGAAGAGTTACATTTGATTTATAGTTTCTTTCCTCTCCCTGCTAACCCTACATTTGGCATGCTAGCAGTTCCAAGGTTTTTCATACCTTACATCTGAGTCTGATGCAGCAAATGCTTTTTGTATAAAAACTCTACAATTGTTAAGTTTAAAAAAAAAAAATATCTGAAAAATGCCTAATATTAAACTCCGGTTCACTGACATGCAAACAATCCTTTTTAATGATTACAAAATTTCAATTTCAGGCACTCCACTTTATGACAATATCATAGAAAAATCCTGTTTCATTGCTCTACACAGAGTAATATTCCACCTTAAGTTTTCAAGACACAATTTCTATGTCCAGTTATTTGCCATAACAAAGTTTAAAAAAAAAAATCGTATTACAAATTTTATAAGCTCTCTTTAAAAAGCAAAGGTAGTCTTCTGTAAAACATTAATTCTACATCAGCTACATTCTAATGGCAGTTCATAGGAAGGTCATAACGCAATGTCCAACTATTCTCTCATATCTTCACACTTGACTGCAATTTGGTTTTTTTGTAATATTTAAAAAGGCAACTCTGCCAAGTGTTAAAGTGTCAAGAGCTCGTGCCAGTATTACTCACAGACATGACTACAAAAAGAACCACCTTCCAAAATTAAGACTAGTGTAGTCTCCGTCAGGAATAATCTGTTCATGAGCTTGTCAAAGTCTGCAGTATTCAAAATGTCAACACTGCCATGAAATCTTAAAGAATGCTCACTAATGGGCAAAAGACTAAGCATTCCATTTTGCTGTTGAAATCAATTCAAGTGATTCAATTAATATCAAGGAGGTTTTAATTTTTAATTTCAGACTTCAGTTTACGGATAGACAGGTAAAGTATATTCAAGAAGTAGCTTGACTCCTGGCATAACTACAGACACAGAGGAAAAATAAGGTGGGCAAAGGAAGGTGGGCATCAGTTGATGACACTATAGTTTCTTAGAAGAGGCAAGCACCCTCACATTCTACTTAGCTGAGCAGAAAACAGAACTCGTTCAAGAAGCTTAGCTGCTTAATCTCAAGAACATTGTATAATACCAGTTGACAACTCCTTTCCCCAGAAGGCAGCAACAAGCAACATTCACTGTTACTCCATTCAGTACTCCAGTTCTTAAAACAATACTTGTTATGAGATGGGTCTTCTAGAATTATAAACTTTAACACCATTCTGCATTGAGGACCGAGCGTATTTTGTCAGAAGAGCACCAACTGTCTGCTTCTCTGCACATAAATCTCTATAGAGGAAATAAAGCAGATGACATTGGCATTAGAGAGATTCTCATACAAAATGAATCCATGAAATAGTTATAAATATAGCAATAAACTGGATTAGGGTATTGGAAGGAAAAATAAACCCCAACAAACTACTACCGTTAACTGTCACATAATGCTTTAAATTACCTAAAGTTTAGAATTTGGCTTGACATTTCAGCAACAGGCAAAACTATATTATTTACTTCAGAAACAAGGATTTTGGTTTTTAGCAGGACTGGTTGGTTTTTATTATTACTCCTCTCAAATGGGTTTTCAATCCAGCAAAACAGTTAGCTTTGAACTACTTAATTATATTATGGTAAATTTAGAGCCACCCATAAAGGTTTGATACAGTTACTTCTGGGTTACCATCTGTATCTGCTCACATGTATCATGGCTGCGCCTTCCACATAGCACTGTAGTGTAAGGGTTAACCACCAAAAGAACAAAGGACACGGTATAGGAAGCACTATGGCTCTATAGTTCTTGTGTTATAAATATGGAGGCTGATAATAAATGTCAGGAAGTTCATCCTTTAAGTCTGCCTCGATCAAATAAGACAGAGTTATCGCCCACTTAACTTTAGTAGGAGCAGCTTTTTACACAAGTTTAAATCCAACGAATGTAGCTACAGTTCCCAGTTCTATTCATATAGAGTTTGTATTCATTTAAAATGGAAAGTATAATATTTGAGGCAATCATAGCTGCTAAGAAGTCAGCTCTGCAAAATGGGGAGAATATAACACTAATTGTATCTTAATAAAAAGAAATATATCCTTACTGTATATAAGGGGTAATATCCTCTTCTGTCCACTTTTCCCGTATGCTGAATAAGCTGTTGAATCTTTCCTGATTGTCTTCAGGTAAGTCTTCTACTTTTAGCAGAAAGATGGTCTCTGGTCTTGAGCTTTTATCCACAAGAGCCAAGCCCTGTACATCAGCACCAGAGAGAAAACGTTAAGTAAAGACAAAACAATTAAACTTCCTTCTTTCTGGCAATAATCCATACAAGTTGCCCTTTGCACCTCCGAAGCCTTCTAAAACAACACTACTAGAGGCAAAGTGAAAAAGTATCATAAAGGCGCTGTATTACAGGCAGTATTTATCACTTCCTTTATGACAAGGAGGGAGGGGAAATCCATTAAGTCCCAACATCTCTCTACATCCTTTGAGCAAAACGATTTTCATAGTGCTTGCTACTCTACTGCCTGTCACTACAGCCTGCTCGACTTCTGCTTCTGTTCTAGTTACAAGTATTAACTGTACAGCTGCAACTTTTCTTCAAACAGTGAAACATGCCAGACTTAGAGAAACCTGAATTGTCAGGATTCCAGACTACCGGTGCTCACAGAGGACATCATACGTACTTTAACTCGAAAGGTGACAGAAATAACACAATCAATCTCCAGTAATCGATAAAATCTACGTATGACACAAGTCAGTTAGCCTACTCATGGAAGGATCTGTACTGCTTTATGGTTTTTACCTTAAGCTGATCAAGCCTTGTTGTCATTCCCTCAGGGACGCTTTGTTGCCAGACTTCGTGAAACTCTGATAGATTGAATTTAACTGCATTTTGCAAAAGCATTTGTGCTATAGCTCTGCATATTTTATCTTCATGCATTTCAAAGTAAACCTCCCCTGCTGAGAAACAAAAACCAGTGTATATTAGGTTCTTGCTTTTTGATAAAAAACAGAGAACAGCCTCTTATTTCCATTCTGTTCTACAGTCTTCTACAAACCAAGTATCCTGTTTTTTCTTTTCCTCAGGGAGTAACCTGACCTGGTATTACTTTGCATAAATGATGGTACTTCTCATTTGCAAGAGCAGATTAAGCAGAAAATTATGTGTGTGTGCAGCACTGCCCGAGCCACAATATTCATTCATATCAATTGATATATATATCCTTCCCCCAATATCTCCTTTTCCCCTTTCCACAGTAACACTGTTTTTCCTACAGCTTTCATTCCTGTTTCTGAACAGCTTGTATATAGCGTTTGCTGTCTGTGGTTCAACAATTAACCCAAAACATTCACTTCCGTAATCATCCTTATAATATTAGATGATTAAGGGAATAAGGAGAATTTATTTTCATTCTCACTACCTTGACTAAAATTCTCTGAGCAATGTGAGGCATAAACACGTCCTTCCACTTTTTCAGTCATCTGGACTTCCTGCAACTCAATCCTGTTCTTTGTGTAACCTGCCTAAATATACCAAGACAACAATCTATGTCACTCCAACTACTTTCCTGTGTCCTTTAAGGTTGAGTGCAACTCCTACTTCAGCCAAAGGTGAGATGAAAGCAACTGTGAAGAAGAATTCAGATTAAGGCACTGAAATACTATGTCTATATGTTAGATGGCCAACGGAGATTTAATCAATACAATCAATGGATCTTGTGGTGCACTTCAAGGGACCAAAGACAGATGTCTACTTCAGGCAAGCTGAATTCAGGGAGATCTACATGCCACTGACTATTCACAATAGCACAATTAATTGCTTAAACATGTGGTATCTGAGACCTCCCAGAATATCTAAAGAGAGATTCCATCTAAATTTTACAAGTGATCTGTCTTTAGTCACAAAATTATGGCTTGTAGAAACCTAGTAAGTCACTTTGGGTACCTCTGATAGTTCCTGATTTTTCCCTAGTATCTTGTACAGTTTAATAGTCCTTTTTCCTATGAAACTTTCTCCAAGAATTTCACTGATTTTTAGCTCACTGTTTGCTCCCTCCTTTTACCGGCATATTAGCAAATGCATTTGTTTGGGCCACCTGCACAAAATCTGCATTTACTCATGAATAACTCTTTCCTTTATGCAAAATTAAAATATGTATGCTTTCCCAGACTTACCATCATCGATGTATTTCCTTCCATAGCTTAAAAGAGTATGTTCTATCATCTCCCTGGGGGGAAAAAAAAAAAAAAAGGAAAAAAAATTAGAAATCAAGTCTTAAAACTGTTCATTAGGACATTACAGAAACAGTTACCAAGAAGATGAAGGAACAGGTAGAGGAAAAAAAAAATGAAGGAGAATGGAGGATGGGAGACATCTTCATGGCTGAAATGAACAAATTGATAAGAACTTAGAACTAAGTTAAAAGAGGACAAAAGGAGACAAAAAGGACAGATGGGAGTTAATTCAGCACGTCACCCCCGAAAGTCTCTTCCACTTTCTGGTTATAACTAGTAAAGACTAAAAGGTGTAAGGAGAACAAGGAAAAGAGATTCTTGTGATGTCACTTCTTTCCAATGAGAAGCAACACAACTCACAAATTTGGCAGTTATTTATCCCTTACTGAACAGGAGGCATTTTTCTAAAACTATGGCATAAGATTACCACCTAAGTACAGACACTAACACTAAAGCAAGATTTCTTTTTGAGCCAAAAGCCAAATAAATGGAAAATGCTACATATTGTAAACTTAAGACTTTGTTTGAATGGCAATCTTAAATTATTTCATTACTCCAAATGGCAGTACAACCAACTCTTACAATCTGAATTCAGTATTATACCAGAAAACATACAACCATCTCAGACATTACACAAGAGCTAAATTGAACATTTTTGGCTAGCTATAGCTTCAGAACAAGTATTTCAAGATGGCCAGCAATTTACAGCTTAAGTACATGCTACTTCCACCATTTACAATTCAGCAGTAATATTTCTACTACCGAATCAATGGAAATATTACCAACATACACTAAAATCAGTTTACTAACCTGTCTGCCTAAACTACTAATGCCCTTGTGTATTTTAGAGCCACAGTAACTAGAATCTAGAGTTACAAGACTATAATTCTAATAAATAATTAATAATGTTTGTAATTAGTAATAGGTAATAATAATTGTAGACAATTTTAAGTACTAAAAGTAATTGCTTACCTGGGCTCTAAAGATCCAAGTTCCTCAAGGCAGGTACGTAAAGGAACCTTACTTAAAGACCAGGACTCTGAGTCTATTAGCTGAGTCACATGATTCAAGAGTTTCATCTCATAGTCAAATTCTAGAATTCTCCAAAATCCTGCCAAATGAAAAAACACAAAACAACGTTAGAAGGAAAACATTGACGCCTTATTTCTGTTCCCCTGAAGATACATTACAGGAGTCTGGACATTTAAGTCACACCTTCACAAAGTACAGCGACAGCATTCTGTGCTTTTCAGGATTAAAACAGAGAAAAAGAACAGAATAGTAAGAGCAAATGTAAAGGAGAAAGAAATAAAATAATCTCAATTATTCATAACTGTTTATGTAGATTAAGTGACACAGATACAAAGACATTACAAATCCCATCCCAAGATGAATCGGACCTGGAAAAACTAATAATTAATTCAGGCACAGAGGTGCATGAACAGAACTGATTGCACTGGGCCTGCAAAGTGGCAGTTCAGGTCCAGCCAAGTTCACAGAAATCCAGATGTGACAAAGCACGGATCTGGTACAATGATGCTGTGCAGCAGTAAATAACAAGGAAAGTCATCTGTGAGATCCACCTATCTAATGGGACGGTATAGAGTAGATGGATCAGCAGTCTTCCCAGTGGTGCTCAGTGATGGGACAGGAGGCAACAAGCACAAGTTGCAAAAAGGGAAATCCCAGCTGGGTATCAGGAGAATTTTTTTCTCCTTGCAGATAGTCAAACACTGGAACAGCCTGGACAGAGGTTGTGCAATCTCCACCCTTGGAAATGCTCAGAACTCAACCAGCCAAGGCCCTGAGCAGCCAGCTCCAAGTTGGCCCTGTTCTAAAGCAGGGGTTTGGACCTAACAACCTCCAGAGCTCAGTTCTGCCCTATGTTATTCTATGACTCTAGGACTGCTATCACCTCGCACCCAGGTGAGGGTTTGGGCTTTGCCAAGTATATGATGAGTAGGACCTGTCCCAAGGTGACACACTTGTTCCAGCCTTGCCTGACACAGTAGGGAGACTTCCAAGATAAACCCTGTCTGGGAGGAACAAAAGACTATGAAAGGCCTGGAGTTACTTAAGGATCAGCTATTTTTGCCTCTAGAACTGCAGAAAGCAGTACCCACTCATCCATGAAAAGGGCAACCAGCCAAAAAATATTCATGCTATAGGTAGGATACTCTGATGCCAGTGTTTGTAGCAGCAAAGAAGGAATTACCCTGGGAAGAGCCAGACTGCTCAATGCCTGCTCAGTTTTATCCTTTTGATCAGCTTCATAGCAGCGGAGGAACTATGGAAGCAGATCTTAGTACTTTCAATTAACTTGCACCTTGAAAGATGAGGATGTGGAATGGGCCTTAGAAAAAGGAGACACAGATACTTTGGGGATAAAAGCAGGGTTATTTCCTTATAGGCAATAATATTAGTTAGAGACAAATACCTTCGATTTTGCAGGCATCTATAACCTGCAATTGGTGCAGTATTTCTTCTTCACTTGCTTGAATCAGACTTAACAAATCTTCTGTTGTATACTGCAACAAGGAAAGAAGGAAATAAAACAGGTTATCCTTACTCCTCCTTTGCTTCAGCAAGCATGCTAAATGCCTTAATAAGATATAATGAAAGAAAAACTTAGAAGATTGATGGTTTTTTCCCCAGACTCTGAATTTGCTAATGTTTACCACATTCTCTGAAACCTTTCCTGTAACTTACAACATTTTCTCAAAGGGTTATTGAATATAAAAACCAGTCTAACCACAGGGAAGTCTTTGTGCCATGCATAAGTAATATACCTGTATTCCCAGGACGTCAAACTAGTGTAAGTAGGCATCGTAAGTAAAGCATCACAGCAAGAATGAAAAGTGAATGTGTTCTGTCTTCCCTAAACCACATATTTTAATCTGTAAGATTCAAAGAAAAGGCAAAACAAAAATCACTTATCACTTTTGGATAGAAGTCAGAACTCCAACTTAGTACCTCCACTGAGTGAAAGTCTCCTCCAGCATGACCTCAACAGTTAGTGTTGTGTTTTGGTGTCTGCTAACCGATTAGCAGACATGTAGCACAGAGCCAGCCACAGTACATACAGCTCCTTGCAGAACAGTTACTTGCTGAGATGGAAGGGTGCTGTGGATACTCTGGTAAAGATTTAGGAGACATAGGAGGAACAGAAGGTATCATGAGGACCGAAGTAAAGGGAAGGAACGCCAGACAAACCCATAGGAAACAGGGCTTCATTAATTCCTTTATTGACCTTGCAGCCCTTTTTAATTGCCTTACAGCCTTTTTAATCAACTCAAATATTAAAGTTTTGTTGATTATAGTGTAAGAATATTTCCTATCAGAAAAGAAAAAAATTGGATTAAGTACTTGAGATCTGTTAGACTACAGGAACACAAATGGAACAAACCAACACTAAGTTTGGAACATCCACATGTTAAAGAAGCATTTAATAAATACAGAAAGGTCTCCGCTTCCTGCTGTGCCATTCCTATTAGACAGTATGTTGAAACATCATCAGGCCAAGCAGCACTGAACTCACATCAGTATTTCAGCAAGGGATGACCACAGTATATAGTACTTAAAAAAAACACTGCTAGCAATTGAGACCAAAAATATTCCCAGATCAATATGAAAGTGTGTTTGTGACTTAGATACTGCCATTCAGATAACACCTTGCACAGGAGTCCTTGGCATTTCTTCCCCCTCTGAGGCCTGGCTAGCACTCCAACAGCTTTTTTTTTTTTTTTTTTTTTTAAGAAATTACTGCTCTCAGCTCTGATGCTTTTGTCAGCTGCATCACCCTTGCAAACATAAAATGGAATGGGTTGACTTGCACCATGTCCACACCAGCAATTTCTAGATAATCTATTCAATATGTTTTTTATCCTTAACACTGATGCATGCGATCATTTCAGTATGCCTTGTCATTTCACTGTAAAATCCAGGATTTTAATTTGGTGCATCCTGAACAAGCTGTGTACTAGCCCATTTATAAGTTTTCCTGTAGTTTGTTAATTCACATCACTATGCAACAGCCTTCCTTATAGTGCTATAGTTTCTTATGGCTCTTTTGCTGTGGTTCTCTGCATATGATACAGTACTGAAAACTGTAAGAAGCTTACAGTAAACCACCAAAAGAGAGTAACTTGTTTTCAAACAGCTTAAAGGTGGCTTATTAGTTGCCAGCACACAATAAATATTAAGTGTAAGCAAACAACACAGTGGAAATCTTTACTACACATGCATTGTTTGAGAATCCAATGAGAATTACTCCCACAGGAAAGACAGCTTTCCCATGGAGAGCTTTCAGATTCATTTAAAGTTCCACCAGTGGCAAGATAAAATTTGTATACATTTAGATCAGATATATCTAGTTGCTCTCCAGTAAGCTAATATAGGAAATATAGTCTCCTTCAAAACAAACAGAGAAGATCAGTCCTCAAACTAGGCACTAATGTTTGGCAAGACATTGACATATTTCTATAATATTCGTTCAATATTGTCAATAAATATTATTGCATGTGACATTTTTTGCATTGCTAGCATTTGTCAATGCTTATAATTTCTGGACAATTTAAGCCCTTTTCCCTTTGCCATCCCTTACTTTGCTGCATGTACTTCTATGCCTAGACCAGAGTAGGTGGAAAAAGGCAATGCTGGAGGAAAGATTCTGAAACTGATCAGAGATTAGTGTGTTAATCACCCATAAAGAGAGAGGCAGCATTTCTCTCCAAGGGAGAAAAGTAATATCCAAGCACACACAAATGATTTGTTGGTATCAGCTTCAGCCAAGCCTTAGTGTAAAATACTTTGGAGCAACCATTTCTGTTTTTTAAAGTCAAAAGGAAAACCAACCAAACTAACAAAACCCCCGGATTTTTATCAGCCTTTTATCTGAGATCATATGCTGCACAGTCCAAATATCTCCATTACTCTTTAGATCCTAAATTGGATTTCCTGGAAACATAAAAGGGCGGGAGGACAGGATTTTATTTGTGCTTTCCCTTCTTGTAGTGTCAGTCTTATTCTCTGTCTCATATCATCCTTGTCATTCTCTGCAACTCCCTGTTTCTCCTTGTCATCATAAATTACTGATTGGCAAGTGACTTGCACATGGGTGTCCTCTGACCTCATATTTTGCTCATACATGACATGTCATACTTGACAGCCCCAAAGGAGGAAAGGCTGCATTATACCTTAGTAGACATATAGCTCTCAAAACTTAGAAAAGGTTCTCAAGACTGTCTTCAAGAAACTTCCCATATAAAAAGTGAAATCCCCAGTCTCTTTCGGTGCCCCTCCTTTTCCTCTTTTTACTAAAAAAAGATGCTTATCTGCTACTCAGTGGAAGTGCTAATAATTACCAACTTGTTTAGAACAGTAGGCTTAAAAAATCGACTCAAAGCAGCACTGTGAAACATGGGAGGAAAGGCATTTTTCTAGTTAAGAATGTATCTTCACTTTAATTTGCCCATTACCAATTACAAGAAAGTAGCTTACGTAGCTGATTTACCTTTGAAAATGTCAAAGTCTGATCTTTCCGACTATCTGGCCCTTCATATGGATCTTCCATTAAAAGCTTCCTCAGTTTCTTCAGTTTTGGTCGACATCTCCTTAATTCCCAATAGTTATTAGAGAAGCCAGCAATCTACAAGAACAAGCAGTGACTCTTAAAACATTTTAATATAGCATTTGGATTCAAAGCAGCTTACCAAAATTATCAGCAACATGTGTTAACCTGGTCACTGAGAACAAGAGTTTATTAATAGGGTAATTACTTTAAAGATGAAACAATCATTGTAATATTTTCAATAAAAAAAGTTCACCACAGGCAATGAAGAATAAAAATCCACTACTGGTTGATAAAAATATGTTCATAGTGCATATGACAAAGGGAACAGCTCACCTCCACATGCAAATGATAGAATATCACCATGGGATATATTCCTGCACAATTCTTGTCAACATTTCTTTTCCTCTTAATACTAAATTATATTACTGCCATAAAACCCCTCCTATATTATGAGGGGGTTTCCATCTTCCTCACTTCTTCCCATGCTTGGGATCTACTTCATGGTCTTTTTACACCTTAGTGAATCATCATAAACAGACATTAATGAGACAGAGCTACATTTGCACACAACTAAAAAGACATCTCTGTTCCTTACTCTGATTCAACACACAAATTAAAAGCATGCAACAGGAAGCTCAGGTGTAATTGATTCAACAGGACTAATCTAATAAAACTTTACTTTCAGAGCAATCCTGAGGTGTTTCACAGGGTACAGCCTGGGTTTACTAGAAGATTCTCTGAAGAGGACAGAGTATTGGAGGCCTTTCAGCATTGTTTCTGCTATCTACCAAACCAACAAAAGCGGGTACAGAATGGCAGAGGCAGAACAGGCACCTGGTTCATGACTCCTGACCCAACCACTAGCCCCCTTGTAAAAAAGCCTCCACGAAAAAGCATCCAGATAGTACTTTCCAATACCCTAAATGCTTTACTAGGCTACTTGTTTTTTTTTTAAAGGTCATCCATTAAAAACACCCCAAAACTTTAAAATAATGTTCCATTTAAATCAACTATAAACAAACCACCTATATGTAGAAGTCCTATCCAAATTCTAAGACAAAGAAAGCTCTCAGTTTTTAATCTAACTATTCCATAGCTTGCTTGGCACAAAATTCAGGTAAATACTAATTTCCTGATAAACTTCTAAGCTTTTCTTTCCCTCCATGTCAAATAGCATTTACCTAAGTGTTAGATTTTTTTTTCCTGCCAAGTTCTTTTCTGAGCAATTTGGTAATGCTGCACAGGAAAGAAAATAAATAATTCTAATTTATAATCCAAAGCTCGTAACTGGAGCTGGTCTGCGTGAGGTGAATAAAACATCAGATGCTTTGGCTGTGAGTATTAGCCTTGCAAGTGGCACAAAAAGCAGCACCAAGACTACAGAAGAGCAGTGAAGCCCCAAAATACTAAGTCAACATAGTATCTTTTGCTATGTTTCATAATTTGCAGTGCCAATACACTAGGTACAGTTTTTGAAAACACTAAGAAAGCTCTTAGAAATACAACTCAAAAAATAATTCATAAGCAAATCACATTTATATTATATTGGCATGCATGACTTCAGAGAACTAGTGAGATCATTAAACATAACAAGAAAAAGAATATGGGAGAATATTACTTTCTCATTAATCTACTTTAGTTTGAATTAACTTTTTCTATTAGCTGAACTGCTGACCTCACAAAAGAAATTATGTTGTTTTGATTTATTATGTTCATCTCAGGACAAGCAGGATTACTCCTCAGTGATGTCATTATATCCATTACAGCAAATAATGACCTAGTAATAATATTTGCCTAACTATTTTTAGTAGAATTCTATTAACTATGCTTCAGAAGAGCAGTGAACAATGAATTCTTTAAACTGAGAACTCTATAATCATTCACTCCAACAAATCTTTCCAGATGGTAGTTGAAAGAGAGGCCACCTTTGAATATATTTCTGTATTTAAAAAAATAATATTCAGGCATGACATGGTATAATCTGCCTTTTGGGGAAAGCACTCCTAAGAATCAATTTGAAAAAAGCTTATTTTAAAAACAGCTGCTATAAGAAATCAGATTTTCTCTGAAAGCTTTTAATACCTACCGCAAGTAATTACTATCCACTGAAAATAAACCAAAATTTTAACTTCTTAGAAACAATAATTATCATACATTATGGATAAAGTTCAGTTGCCTAAAGAAGGGCCCCAGAGCCATTTTGGACACCCTAAGGTATAGCCTGCCCCCTGTGTATAAAGCGTATTTATAAAGACATGCTCCTGGGGCTGTTCAATATACAAAGAACCTACAGGAGACTCATGTCCTTCTGCAGTGGCAGCTCGTAGCTAGACCAATACCACAAGGCATCTAAAATGGCATTAGAAGCCTATGTTTAGGCAACTGAATACCAGCTGGGTTTCACATGTGCATCTTGGATAAAATACAAGAAATTATAGAGAATAAGAATGTAGAGAATTAAAGCAAACAAACAAAACCCAGAAAGACATACCTGTGAATGAATAACATTACAAGATGCTTGATCTGCTTTCAGCTGTTCTGGAGTTTTGCAACCAGGAATAAACAGCAGCATATTTGAGGTATCTGCTATTTTCATGTCATAAGTTTTATCTTTGCTGCACAACACTGCTTGTTCATCCTTTTCACCACGGATTACTAGGCTGGAAAAAAAATAGCACCAAAATAAAGATGCATTTTTACCTCTATTTCAGGATGAACACCTATTAAACTTGTCTGATATTTTTTCACATTTATACATTGGTAAAGAAGTTACAAACTGCAGTTCTATTTGGTAGCAGCAGTCACAGTAAACCAAAATATAAAGACGTAATTGTCAATTAATCTAAATATCTTAACACTATGGTTTTTTCCTCTCCTCTTTTGAGTTTTTGCACTCTGAAAGACGAGCATTCAAGGTTTTCTGCAGATCACGGTCAAACCACTTCACCTGCCTATTCAGATGACCCCCCTAAAACACTGATGAAATGATGCTTAAAGCCTGAACTAGTTCACTAATCTTAGAAATTAGATTACAACTACAGTTGTTTTTTAATAAGGACTGAAACTAGCCCATTGTGAGACAAGAAAGCAAACAGAAATTGTGTCTGTTGTGCAGTGCCCTTCAGATAATTCTCTCTCAAAAGCATATACATTTTCTTGCAAGTAATTCCACACAGGAAATAAGAACATCTTCTAGAACATTTCATACAAAGAATCAATGCAAACCCCCTCTTCAGCTCACATACTTGATTAAATAGAGATTCTTAGTGAGGATGTGATAATACTGAAGCAGGACCACAACAAGGGAACATTCAGTTCCTCCCAGGCTACACTAAATTAAGTGCTCTTGTTCGATTTAATGAAACTGCTCATCTTGCTTCTAAAAGCCTGCATGCATGAACAGAGCTCAGCTGTGCCACAAGCAGTCCTCAGCAGGAGTCAGGCCTCCAACCAATGACACCTTACCAATGTTGCACTGAGTGTGACCAGGCTTAATAACATACATCTCTGAGGACTATTTTCTTTAGAGGGAATTCTAATATTGTATCATTTTAAACATTTTTATTATGTTATGTCCCTGGCATTGGAGCCAAGGAAGAAATTTTAGAACAGTACCAAAAACGTATCTAGAATCTGTTCTTGGTCCAGAGTTAGATGTCACATAACCATCCCACCAAATGCCTATGCTAATATTGTACGTCCTTCGCTGTTCCGCTTGTCTAACTTGTAGGCACCCTGACGTCCACCTGATGTCAGGAGTTCCAGTAAGAAAAACTCAAGAGGCCAGAGGGATTCTTTTACAGACATAATCTCCTTTCCCAAACACAAATTTTTAGGCATCTATCTTTATATGCCCGGCAAGAAACTCTCCTCAGTTTCTGCTAGAAATCTCATGAGAAGCAATTTTTCCATACGTAAAAAGTTAAAAAAATGCCAGAACAGTCCTCAATACAACAGCCTACAGAAGTGGGAAACCTTAGCAATAAAGTTGCTACTCTGATCAGATTGAGTAGGCAGGGAACAGGAACTGAGCCTTGTTACTGACTCACACCGTAACAACACATGAACCATCCCCTATCCCATCTTTTGTTTTTTAATGCGCACAACAGTTATTTCACTGAAACAATCTAAACGTGTTGTAACTACCCATCATAAAGTGCTGGTTATGTTCGCTTTGTCCAGCTTATTTTAGGCGGTGGCAGCTTTTAATTTCCAATGTAACTGAGCCAGGTTTAAGGGACAGTTACGCCTTCACCCTCTCAGAAGAATTAAAGTCTGGGAAAAGCGCCGTTTAAGAGCCACGCCAGCTAACGAACGCTAAAGATGAGACCCATCCGACTCTCCCACTCACGGCGAGGCGGAGATGCGAGGGTGGGACAACTCCAGCCTTCCACCGCCGG